TTTAAAAGTAAAATAATACCTTGATTTGATAAAAATGGATGTAAGAAAAGACAAAAATAATTGCAGGCAATGTTTCCCCTCATGTCCTTCAATTACATCACCCTGTGCCCTCCATTGTATGGTAGGTGGCATTTTGATCTGGCTGGGGGCTATGGCTAATGGCCTTGCTCAGATGCCAAGCTGTTTTTGTGAAATGCTACGGTACCTTTGGCATTCTGCACTCTGAGCGTGTCTGCTCCTCTGTGAGCAGATGCTGCTGCTTCTTCCTCTGGCTGGAAGGGCCTTGCAAGCCCATCAGCTTGCAACTGCTTCTCTGTAGCAGGAGCCAAGAGCCTTTTCCAATAACCACTTCATTCTGCCTGTTCCTCGCATTTTGCAAAGGTTTGGAAAAGTGCTTCATAAAATGGAATCAGCAATTTAATAACAAATTAAACATTTTTGTGAACCTTCCAATGCTGATTATGGTTTTTCTAGCCTGGCTAAAACCAAGAGCAGCCTCTCTTTGTGGTGTGGCTGCTGCCAAGGCATGAAGCCACACATGGAAATTAAATATATAATTTTCAAACATCAGCATAGGTCAAGGTTTTGTTTAAGCGTGGGTGAAAGGCACTGGCTGGTTTAATTCCTGCTTTTTTTTAAACCCTGTAATGAGATGCAGCACTTTTAAGCAATTGTGGATCACATAGCTTCCTTGGGCTCTGCTGGTAAGAGTGCTCCTAGGCAATGAGGAAGATTAGAGGCTTGTCTGGAGGGGATGTAGAGTGCTGTGAGCTGCAGTGTGTTTAGCACTTGGAGCATGGTAAGCTGTCCTGTGCAAAGGTGTACTGAGTAAAACATCCTCACAGGGAACTGAAGGGAAGCTGCTCCTGTGCCATAGGCTCTGCTCTGTCTCATTTCTTGCTGCCTTTACCTGTTGGGAAGTCCGTGTGCTGCAAGTGAACTGGGGATAGATTTGCAAAGGCTGAAACATGTGTTGGGCCAGCACTGCAGAGCTTAACATTACAGCTGGGCAGGTATGGTAGGGACCAAGGCTGAAAAAGTAAGTTCGAAACCTCCATAGTAGTTGTATGTCTTTGGAATCAGGTCCTTGAGCAATCAGTTCCCCTGTCATGGCAAATTTGAGTTGGAGCTCTAAACCCTTTGCCTAGACTCCCTTGCTAGGCTAGGGAGGCAGAGGTATTGCTGAAAGTGGATCTATCCTGTAAATCCCTTTCCTGTGGCTGCAAGGGCAGCCAACAACCGCAGTTGATAAATTTCATCTGTAATGATAAAGCCACAGAGTAATGTGAGCATCAAATTGTACTTTTGGGCCAAATTTTAGACTTGTACTTTGAAGGTTATTTTGTGATTCTAGACAAGTCTAGGCTTCTTCTGGTATCTTTGTAGGTCTATGTGAAGAATATCTCTGTATTTTACCCTAGAAGAGTACTTGCTGTTATTAGGACTTGGAGGTTGCTCTGGCAGAGTCCCATTTTGCCTGCCCCATGTCCAGACCTGCTGGACATTCTACAAGCCAGAGCATTCACTTGTGCTGGGAGAGATGCGAGCTCAAACATTTGTCTTCGAACTGAATCCAAATTTTCTGCTTTCTGGGAGAGTGCTTGGCCCGTAGCTTAGAGGATGTGAGTAGGGTGCCAGGGATGAGGGGTGCTTGGAGTGTGGAAGCAGCTTCCCTTTTTGCAAAAGGTCCTCTGGGGTACGTTGGCATGAGTACGAAACCCTGAGCCTCCCAGGCAGCTGCTGTGCTGGTCAGGCTTCACACCATTGACTCCTTGGCCAGCTGGACACTAAACCAGGACGCTGAATACTGAGGTATTCATGGGAGCAGATTCTCCTGTGTTTGCTGGTTTCTATAATGGGTAGGGTTTTTGACAAAGAGCTGGAGGCTTCTGGCTACTGTTGCTACAGTGGTTTGCTCAGCTTCTCTGCAGGGTGGTGAGGGCAGCAGCATAAATCCAAGAGGGGCACCTCAAGGTCAGTCCCATGAGTAGCTGGGGTGTGTGGTGCCTTGCATCGCTGTGTGGAGCTGTGCCTATTTCCTATGGCCAGCCAGGGGACAGTGGAAGGTGTGACATAGCTGAGCACTGGCTGAACTGTCACAGGAGAAAGTGTGGGCCCAGGGGAGGAGAGACCTGTAGTACAAAGTTAACGTGCTGACTGCCACCTAGGCATTCAGATCACGGATAGAAGAGACTACCCCCTCCAAAACAGTGACAGAGTGACCTGTCTGAGCCAGCAGGAGGTAGAGCAGGATTGAGAGTATGTTTGTTTCAATGCACCAAGATACCAGCTGAACGCTGCATTATGTGCTCATGGACTTCACTGAAAGGATCTTCTCCTGACTCACATAGCTCTTACTCTTCTTTGCTTGTGCTCCTGCCCTCCCACAGAGCAAAGCCACACTAGCAACTAGACTACATGGGCACTCTTAAGACCAGCCACCTTCTTCCTGGTGCTTATGACATCCTGTCTCAGTATTTCAGAGTGCTTTCAATTATCACTTTCTTTCCCCCAGTGTTGGTATGTGTGTTTCAGCTTTACAGTGGCAAGATGATAAGGACTGGTTTATCAGGGTAGGTTTTAGTCAACAAAGGAAACCTTAAAGTCAGCTCTATGCATATCTGTCACATCTGCTTTTCTAAAATAGCTGTAATTTCAGAGCATAAAAGATCTGAACACTAGAAAAATTACAGCATGGAAGTGTAGGGCCTTGCACATGCTGTTTTCCTTGCTCTTCGGGACCTCAGTTACATGTCTTGAAGATCCTCCTTTGGTGGGTCTGAGTCACTCTTGGGGGCAGAAGACAATTCAGCTTAGATGCAGGAGCAAGGCCGTTTTACCTTTAGAACTTTTACCCTACTTTCCTTCAGTGCATTGCATCTGACACTGGGATTGAGCAATCACATCTCTATAACCCAGGAAATTCCAAACCTGAAAGTTCCTAGAACAAAATGTTAACCATGCTGCCCTGCATATCCTGTACACTCTGCTGTGCAGGTCAAACAGTGAGTGATATGCTACGCTGACAAGGAAAACAGGAATACGGAATGCTGCATATGCACAATTTGGCAGAGTTAATGCTAATGTAGAAACTTAACCTTTTGCTATTTGCTCATATTTGAGGGGTTTATTTCACCACTTAACAGTAAGTATTTCTGCTTTTCCCCTACCACACAGATTGTAAATGAATGCAAAGTTTTGAAGAGCAGCTCTAGAAAAGAAAGTGCAGCTCATGTTGCATTTCTGTGTAACACTTAGAAATGCCAAATCCTTACAAATACTCGAGGAACTTACTAAAAGATACTGGTGGAATCAGCTAGCCCTCTCCCTTGTCACGTAACATCTCAGATCCCTAATCTGGGCTGCTGTAGTAGCCCAGCTGTCTGGAGATGAAGGTGAGCTTGAAGTTCATTTACCAGACTAATACTTCTGGCTCTGACACTTTCTCACCTGAGGCTGCTTTACTAACCATTCAGCTTCATAAGTTCCTATGGCCAGATTAATTTTCTACCTGTCTGTTACTGCTGGAATCAGGTAAAGTTAAGGCATTTTTACCCTTATGACATTATTTAGGAAAAGCAAGTGCTACTACAGCTGTCCAGTTGGATGCTAATGTTCTGAGCACCAGAGCACTGCATGCAACCCAGCAGCTGTTACATATTCAAGGGTGAAATTCCAATAATAGTATGCTATATAATCTCTGGATAAATATTTATGCTTGTGAAGGTTAAGTGACTTGGAGTACTATAAACTCCAGCCTCTTGGGCAGGCCACTGCAATTTAAGCCTTCTCACAGTGACCCACCAATGACCTCTCCCCAGTCTAGGGGCAGAGTAGTTGCTGGTGCAAAAAACTAAGAGTGGATCCTGAGGTCTCTGCTGAGCAATAACCTAGTGCATAAAACGCATCAGACAATATTTGAACCCAACTACTTATCTCAGAACCACTTCTCTAACATTGCTTAAATTTCCTTGAAACTTCTTCCAGTGTAACTTCCTTCACTAACCCTGCATGGTGTTGTCTCAGCATGGGTGTAAGAGGATGAAAGCTTCTTGTAGATGACAAGCAGCATATCACAAGCTGCTGTTTGGTGTTTGAGTTGTGTGACAGTTACCCTTTTCTATTTTGCAGGCACAGATTCAAGGTTGTGATGTGGTTAACTTGCTTCAGAAATGCAAGAAAAACAACAGGCCAGACTACTACTAAAACAGTTGTACAAGTTGGGTCCCATTAGGATCTGTAGTTCAGAGCTCATGGAGCCAAAATACCCCCAAAATAGGCAAAGCTGTAGTTTTAGTGAACTCAGCAGAGCTGGGATTTGCTCCAACCATTTAACCTAAGTGTGTTTTCAAAAAGTTGTGTAATTCCTTATTTGCTTCCTAAGCTACATTCCAGAAGGATAACAGATATAGCCTTTCTCCTTTTTCTTCATCCCACTACTGCCATTATTTCTTAACTAAACCCACAGAACAGAACTCCATTCAGTACAGCTGATGGGTTCCTTTACACCCCTACCTGCTGATAGTGCATTAGGAATGACCCCAGCCTTGCCAGATAGGAGAGGAAACCACAATGACATGTCTCATTTTAACCCAAGCTGGGAGGAGGTATTTTGCTTGCTGCTTTGAAGCACTGGAATGATATTTAGGCTCCTGACTTCTACTGAGAAAACAGAATGCACCCTCAGCCTTTCAGAAGTGAGCCATGCTCCATCAGGGCTCTGTTGCCTCAGTTCTACTTGCCTAAAGGAAACACATCAACAAAGCCATGTCTTAAAGCCTAATTTATTTCCCTGCCATTCCACCATGGCTGGTAGCTGTTGTCAATACTGGCTATTCTCTTTGGAGCAAAAACATTATCAGCAGGTTTACAGCTTACTAATGCCATGTTGAGGATTGTTTATTTTATCTGGCAGTTGATATTTAAGAGAATGGCTCTAGGACAACAATATACATTTCAGTCTGAGGAACTCATTAATAATACTTTAATCCACAGGAATCTTAGGTTTTATTTGCTTTACTCAGCACTTGGAAATTTTTTTTCTTAACTTGGCCTCTTTGAACTTGCCGAGCACGAGTTCCAAATCCCAGAGACTGCATCGATTCTGTTAAGTACTTCTGGCCAGGAGAGATGCACAGCATCACCAACAGCTTAGCATCACCTCCTGAAAGCAGGAAAAAGACAAACATACTCATTCAGTAGGTTATACACTGGTAATGTATTGATGTACACAACAGTGAGCATAGGTTAGCATTGCTTTCATGAAGCAGAAACCTGCTTGCAAAGAGGGCTGTTGAAAACAGACAGTTTCTTCAAAGGGAATCTGTATCTAAGGATATGATATTTGCCCCAACTGTTTCACAGTTGTAATGTAGATTTTTTCCCCCTTTTAACTTAATCAGTTAATCAGCACGTGTGTTATGGTCTGAGCACTTCATTAAGCTTTGTCAAATGTTTGTAAATATGGGGTAATGGCAAAATGGTTTACCTGTGTGACAATAAAGCAAAACAGACTTAGAAGTTTACAGAGAATGATTAAACAGAGGAGAAAATTGCCATTTTCAACAATTCACCCAAACAGCGTCACCAAGTCATACACCACGTGTGATTAAAACTGGGCTCAGCACTCATACAACACAGCTCCTAAACTGCCTTTTTTGGCTTTCCCTTTTCAGAGTAGGAACTCCAGCGCTAGGTGAAATTCAAAGTTTAAGCAAAAATGAATAGTATTTCAGAAGATCTGAAGAACTGTCAGTGCCTTGAACTGGAGATTAAAAGCATAAGGGCTAATAATTTCTGGCTGAAGAAAAATGGACTAATATACTATATGAATGGACACAAATCTGACATTACTGCAGGAATTACACTTGCTTTAAAACTGCTTCTGCATAGTTGAGGAGTTAAGGAAGAGGAAGTGATCCAAACACAAAAAGAAATATTGCAGTACCATGTCCTGTCTCCCTCCTAAGGAATGTGCAAGTATGTCATTATACCCTGTTGTAACAAAAATTGAAGTTTAACTTGTAAACTGTACCTGATGTGACACACCAGTGAAATGCAATTTTTATCCTTTACACAATCCTATTAGAGATGTTGCTCTTAAATTGAACCTTGGAAACAGCAAGGTTTAGCTGAATTGAGGAGTTCAGAACTCTCACTGTGCAATCACACTGCTCCAAAACCAGAGTCTTTGAATAGAGGCCACGTAAAAGGGAGGAACACAAGATCATCTTCCAGTTTTACACAACAAAGGAGGGGAAAGATTAGGAGAAGGAATCTATACTGTTAAAGAGAAGCCAGAATAATTCCTCACCTACAGAGTCCTGAAGCAGATGTGTAAGTTTGCTGTTTCGATATGGGACGTGAGATCTCTGTTCTGCTATTGCTCCCAGAACGTCGGCTAAGGCAGACAAGCTGCGGTTAATAAACGATGTCTCTCTCAGAGCTGCTCCTGTCACTCCAGACATACCTGGTACGGTGTAGAAGAAAGCAATGGTAACAGTAAGCAAAGCTGCTGCAACTGTAACATGGGGAAAATCATGTTGCTGTATCATCTACTTCTGATGCAACATTTTTAAACACAAATTCTGCACAGGACTTCCAGCCCACCCATGCCAAAAGCAAGATGCAGTGTTTTTTTCACTCTGGACTGCCATTACATTGTTCAGTACTCTACTCTTTTGAAGGAAGGTTAAAGAGGGTTCAGCATGTACAGATGGGCTGAAGCATCTCATGTTAAAGTTCGTCTTTTCAGCTGTGCAATGCATCTTTGCTCCATATGTATTAAGAACAAGGAACTGAGAAAGTAGGAGCACCATAAGATCAGAAAGACAATGCTGCTTGTGAAAACACTGGTCCACAGTGTCCTCAGAGAGAAGCCTCTTTTGTTCCATTGTTTTTATAATAGTTAACTCTCCCATCTGTATCCCTTAAGAAAAAGAGGAGAGGCACTGATGGTACAAGCTGCAGAAACAAAACTGTACAGCAGCCATAAACATGAGGGATTTGTGTTCATCAAAGCCTGTGAGGTGCCATATTATGGCATGATTTGCTGCAAGGAAATGGATAAAGGAAAATGATGCCCTTCTACCATCCACCCAGCATGGTGGCATGTAGCTATGCTGCCCCTGAGCAACACTGGAAAAGTTTGGTCTACACACCACATTGCACCAATTCAAGAGGTGCTGCAAGCTCAGGTCTTTGATCAGTCTGGATGAGTGTGCAGTTAAGAGTAATTAATTCCCCCTGTCCTTACCTCTGCCATTTGGGGAAGAGAAATTTGCTATTAGCATTTAGCATCACATTATTCAAACTCAAGACTTTTTCAGGATAGTGGATGAGGTACAGATGCATCTGCAATCAATTCTTACCCAGAACACATGATCCATGCTAGGCAGAGCTAATGGCAGTGGGACGATCAGTGGAGCTAACAGTTTCCTCTACTGCCTACTCTCCCACCTCTAGAGAGGTACATATTGTGGCTAGAGATCTTGTTTTACCCTTAGGCCAGCATTTTCCAAACTGGGAGAACAAAAGAGGAGTTCAAGAGGCAAATATGAAAAGGTACAGTAATAGCAAAAGCCCCAGAAGTCTGGACAGACTGTGGGAGAGGATGGGGTCGGAGTGGTAGAGTGTCTTGTCAGAGACACAGAGCAAAATAGTTTGGAAGAGCCTGCCAAAGGGTGGACAACAAATAGAGATAGGATGAATCTCAAACTTTACTGGGGTCATTGTATATACAGCCATCCCAAGGCTTCTTTTACCTCAAGCCAAGGTGGACTCCTGAGACAACAGATATCGCCCTAATGCAGAAAACTGCAAATAGGTGAGGGGGTGCATGTTTAAACTGCTGATTATCTATGTTTGGTTGGATAATCTTCCACCAAGCATTTAGCTGAAACCTAGTTTGCTAAAAAGGGACCACTTGGCTTGTAAGTGCTGGCTGCAGAGCTAACAAGGCGCTGAGGTGTGTGAGGAGCCTGCTGTACTGCTGCTCACTGAGATTTGCCCACATTTTAAAACAATTACGAGATAACAGCTGCCCTCACTTTCACCAGGGTAAGTCCACCAGCACAGCTGATGGCAGAGGTCAGTCTGCTGCATGTGCTGGGCCCCATCTAACACTGCTGTGAGCACAGCTCTTGTGGTTTCACTTGGAGGATCGGACCTGCCGAGCCCCAAACCAAGGAAATGTTTGTCCTGGTTTAACTGAGAGAATAAACACACACCCTGTTGCTCAATTACATGTTTTCAGCATTTAGAGCAAATGAAAAAAATAACGTATTATATTAGGTTTATCGGTAGAACAAAAGTTTTAACAGTGAGCAACAGCAAGAATTCTTGGCAGTAAAGCAAAAGACTCTTTCATAATACTGGTTCAGTTTTCAAAACATTATTTCTGGAATGGTACATTTGGCTGCATGGCTTTTCTTGGTAAGGAAGCTTGTCCTTTAGGAAATAATCAAGTTTTTGAAATTATTGTGTGCACAGAGGAGGCAGGAGGAAGAAAGTGCTTTGAAGAAACAATGAAAACAATATTATCTTTTCAACACTAATTTCCTCTGAGACTTTTTCTGTAATAAGCCAGAAAAACCCACACATAGCAATATCAATTATTACAGATATTTATAATATTTAAATAATTTATGAACTTTAAACATTTCTGCACAAAGAGATGCTAATTTCCAGAGTAGAAAAACAGGCCTAATAAAACCAGTCTGAACAAATAATATACCTATGATATGGGTAACCACCCTGGGCTTATTCAAGCTTATGCAGTCAGATTTTCAGTTAAACTGTACCAGGGTAAAACTGGAACAATCACCCCCAAAATTTTGTTGTGCCAGGATCTGTGGGTTTAAACCATCCCTGTGTGAGAGCAGGGTAGCATGTACCCCTACACAAAGAAGTAAAGGCAACTATTGTAACCTAGATCAGAGGGGATCCATGCCCATAAACACACACGTTCGCTTACCGACACACTCGCTACCAGCCAGGTCCACCAGCTGCAGTCTAGTTCTGACTTGCTTCATTCTCTCAGTTGCTTCGAGTTGCACTGGTGAAGAGGTTCCGGAAGAGGTGGATTTATTGTCCCTCATTTTTTGTGGAAAGGTGCAGGAAACCTCTTTACTTAGTCTCTGACTGGTTTGTTCATCTTCCCACGAAGTACCTGGTTAATGGAAAAAACAAGCAAGGAGTTTCTCACTGACACTGGAAATTGAGATGAGGAAAAATGGGGCATCAATAAAGCCTGTGCAGTATCTGCTGTTCAGCACATTCTAACAGAAGCAATATACAAGTCAGAATCCATGGCACAGGCAGGCAGGCTGAATGACTTTTTCTATCTTATTTAAGGTTCTATTCATTTAGCAAATCATACCAGTTGGTAACAAGTTTTGGTGTAAGTTGTGTGGTATGCAATAACCAATTTGTTCACACTTCTGTGTGGAAAACAAGAAATGGGAGTCCAGTAAGGACTTTAAAGAGGCATTTTTTCATGTTTTAGACAGACTGCAACCAAAGTGAGATTTTGGATGTTTGGGAGCAGTAGGCTCTGAAGTCTGGTTCTATGTGTTTGAAACATCACCTGCTGGTGCTCTGGCAACAAAAAAACCCAACAAAATCCTCATCCTGACTATTCTATTTTGTCCTTTGCTGCTGTTCCCCCTAAACTTCCTTCAGCCCTCATATCGCACTGCTGGATCTCCACATGATGAGCTATTAGCCTCAATAGCATTACTACCACTTGTTGAGGTTGGTTACCTACTGCTATCCTTCCTCAGCAGCAGGACCTGGCTTTCAGTCTCTGCTGGGAAGGAAGACAAAGATTCTCTGGGAAAACTGCTTTCAAATTAGCTTAGCAGGAGTATATGCAAAAGGGATTTCCCAAAGCAATTTTGCTTTTTCCTTAGTTTTCATCCATCTCTCTCTCTCTCTGAAAGACATAAAAGAATAAAACGTGCCTTTTCTGCTACAGGTCACAGAGACAAGAGACCTTCTCAGCTGCTTAAGAGCCTAGTTGGAATAGTACAAAGTTTACAGCTGCAAAACTTGAGTAAGATGCAGCCTGAGCTGTGTTGCAGAGCTCTGTACTTCTCCAAGCAGGCTGCTGCTAAAACCTGAGGTAGCTGTTCCCAGTGCAGACAGAACAGCTGTGTTGGTTTACACAGAATGAATGGCTTCAGGCCACACAGTGTCAAACTAAGTGCTCTTACTCCTCTTCAGTTTGAGACAATGCAATTAAGAAACAGCTCTCCTCAAGCAACAGATAATACTGATCAAAAGGCTAAAACACCTTAATCAAACCTGAAGAAGTGCTGACTTGTCAGCCTGGCTCTAGGTGCAGAACTTGTCACAGACTTTACAACTTTTCACTTAGTGACTTAGATATGTGGTGCTGAGATATTTGACAATTGGACCTGGCTTTTAAATCAGGATCATCTCCTTTTAAAGAAGACAGGATGTGCTGTCAGACTGCTATAGTGAGGTCACATTTGCAGCACTGCTCTACCCACCTGCAGTGCACAGCTTCACCCATGAGCTGTGAGCCCAAAGCTTGAGCCTGCATTCAACAAAAATTAGATCGTGTCTATGGAGCTTTGCTGCTGGACAACATGGCACAGTGGGTGGCTGCAATCAGGAGTGGCAAAGGGAATTGGGAACTAGACAAGATGGCTGTTGTGCTAACAGTACAAACACTGAGTCTTGAAAAGTAACATCTGTCTGATTGACAGAATCTGGAGCTGGCTAGAACTAACATTTGGAATGCTGGAGCTGCAGCTTGTGAAGTAACTGTGTCTTTTGGCATGGCCCATTGGTAAGTGAGGGCACTGTTTGTTCTGCTTTGCTGATACTGTCGGTTTAATTTTTGATAGCAATCTAAGGGAAAAAATGTTAAATATTTTCCACTTTCTAAAACCATATTGTTGTTGCAGAGTATGAAGGAGATGGACCACAGCACTGGAGGCAGAGAGCCTAATTACAACATAAGCAAAAGAAAACACGGTTAACCCCCAAAATCCTCAAAAAGAAGTTGTTCCTAAAGCAATAAACTGCTAAGTCTTGGTGTGGTAATGAAAAGTATTAATACAGATGTTGCCATAGTAAATAAGGTAACTGTTGGCTGTTCATACAGTAATCTATTGTTAACAGTTCAAGAGACTGAATTTAATGGACATTTTTGCAAAGCAGCAGGTAAAAAAAATAATGCTTTCTCATCCAAAAGCATATGATGATCCCTGAAACATATGGTTAGAGTTACCACAAGAATGAATAATTATATGTCATAAAAAAATGAACCACAAGAATAAATAATTATGTCGTACAAAATTATTTAACTACTGTATTTGATTGTCTGTCTTATTGAGATCTTAACTATTTTAAACTTTTTCTTATGACTTATTGATAACATTTGCTCTTTAATTGTTTCATGCTTAAAGAACTTAAAGAACTCTGTAAGTCAAGATATGTAAAGAAAATTGAAAAGTTTTTGTGGGTGTTTCAGTGGCATTCAAACATCAAAGCGGTCCCAAAGGCTGTTTTTCTAAAAACAACTGGCTCTAGGTGTATTGTAGCAACATCCTACTTACCAAAGTTATCGCCAAAGACAACTGTGGTTATGGTCAATGTAACTACCAGATGAGAACGAGAGGAATGAGCATGCACCAGTGTTGGGTGCCTGACTCTCAGCTGTAGTCCTTTGTTGACTAGATGCAAAAATTCAGATGCATTTTCAACAGTCCTAAGGAGTAAAGAAACAAGGATATTTAACTAACTCACAGTAAAAATCACAAGAGAAAGCTGACAACTTGGATGAGAATCAGAGCATTTCCACGTCCTTGCTCTTCTCTTTATACTGATCTCAGTTTTGAGCTGCACAAACATCTGTATATGGATTTTTTTCAGGTGGGATATAGTCCAAGATGAAAATTCAATACAAAAGCTGTGATGTAGTCCTGGAAGTGCTGCAGAAGTGGCCTTTCAGCCTTGCAGGTCTATAGGTACTGTAGCTCAGCTCTAGAAATGACTGAAATTTCTACACCTTCACACTCTGGAAGAAAAGACATGGGTTTAGACATTGCTGGAATCTCTGGTCTCGCACAAGAGGAGTTATCCAGTTTTAAGTTAAGGTAGCTCCTTTTCTTAGGTATAGAATTAGGAAAAAACCCCACAAAATTTCTCTGGGCCATTGGAATTAAATCCAGAATTCCTGGAAAACTATTCAATTCCACTGTTCAAAGAGAATGATGTCAGAATTGACAGGCATAAGTTTCTATAGACCATTTTATCTTGTACTATTTGTTGGCTTTTCCAGTTGAAGGAAGTACTGCAACTATGATCAATTGAATGGCAAAGACCCAACACAGAAAGTGAAATAAACACAGAAAGTGAAATAAAGTGACTAGGTAAAGAAAAACCTCATTATGACTCTCCCTAGGTTTGCAGTGTTTGAAACAAATGAGGTAAGATTGCCTATTGCTTCCTTTCACTGCCTTGCCCTCTTCAATAATCAAAGATACAACACCTAAACAGTTTTTAGATGAGGGTATAAACTATGACTGCATGTCATAGCCTGGTTACTGAATGCCCTGTAACAGCAGAACCATTAGTAACTCTTCTGACAGGCCACAAGTTTGGTTGCACAGTACTGCAGAGAGCTAAAGCAAGCAACTAGTAACAGGCAAGGCCTTCATGACTTAGATTTGGCTGATTGCAATGAAAGTCACACTGGGCATGAACTTACTTTATGCTAAGATCCATACTTGAAGAGTTTAGAGACAAAAGACCTATAACCAACTAAAACAGTTTCCTATGAAAATAAAGCCAGGGCATCTGAAGAACAGAAGAACACTTGCCCACACTGTATTTATAGGCACTTAGGAGAAGCAGCCACCTAAAAGCAGTTCCTTGTGTATTCAGGGCTGCATGAACTAAACGATCACTATAGACTTCCCCTATCAATCCTTAGCCACATGTGCTGCCCCTATAATGCCTCTACCTCTGGGTATCCACTGGGAACGTCTCCCTGAGTGTTTGACCTGGCCCCAGCAGGGAAGCAGTGGCTCTAGTTCCTACAGCCAGAGAAAACAGAGCCTCACACTGGGGTGATCTATTGCCCAAAGTCCAGGGAGGCACATCCTGCTTTCCCAAGTCTTGAACTCCATCTTCTAGTGGCTGGTCAGCCAGGACTGGATGGCCTGAGAGGTAAGCAGCCTTTGCTAGAATAGGGCTGAGCAGCCTTTGGTAGGATGCAGCAACAGGCAGTTGGCTTCTGCAAGCAGCTGGCAAGGGGTCAGTGCTGCCAGCTGCTGCCCTCCCACTGTGTCTGCAGAAGACAAGAGGCCTCAGGGCGTGCTCAGTGCTGCTCACCCGCGGGGCAGCTGCAGCTGGCTGTGGAAGTAAGCAGCATCCCCAGCCCGGTGCAGTGAGCCTGGCACAGCAGCTCCTCAGCAAGACTGACAGTAATAATGCTTTAGCATAATCTCTACGACTCTATCACGCTCTGTGTGCCGCACATTCCGCCCTGCTGTGGTTAGGTTAAAAATTTGAGGCTGAATGTTCTCCAAAGTCAACCAGGCTATAAAAGAAGAAAGAGCCTGAGGTTTTTGTGATTCCGTAAGATGAACGTGTTAGCAGGAAAGAGACTACTGTACTTTAATGGATATATGGAGAAGCCAATGAGACCCAACAGGCCAATATGTTCTAGATGAAATATTATCATAAATGAGGGTGTGTTTTTATTCAAAGCTCCAGCTGTTTACTTTAGATTTCAGGCAGCTGGGTGGCCTCACTCAATGGTTCCCTTACTTTATTTGGATTTGCTTTCTCTTATTAACCTTTCTATGTAATTATTAATATAACCTGTTTATGAATTGGACTTTTTTCACTGCTTGCATTGTAATTGAGATACAAGTCCATATTCTTGTTTATATTTGCCTTAGAATTTAGTATTAACTGATAGAGATAAGTGGTTTTTAAGAGGTTTAGTTCAAGGTGCCTGGTTCCTTTACCATAAATTAAAATCTACACAAATAAAACAGAGCAGCCATTTTATGAATTAGAAGGACAAATGAAACCTTATTGCAGCTTCTAGTTCTTAACTCTATGGCACAAGCCCTGCTACGTCACACCTCTCCCCTCCCCAAAACCTGCAAAAAGAGATGGGTCACTCACTAACTACACAAAGCTCCCTTGGGAAGTGGAGCAGGCATTTTTCAGGAATGATACCAGGTCAGCATCTTAGTTACTGAAATATCATAATTAAAAACTATTTGGAGGTTCTGATGAAACAGGAAAAGTTCAACTCCAATCATGTCCACACTACATGCACCCATCTTTATTTCCTTAATCATGTGGTTCCTTTCCTCTCTAGTCAAAGGGAAAGGATTAGCTCCTTCAAGAATGATTCAGCACACATAGGTTAGGCTCTGCTCCCATCCTCTTCTGGAGTTTTTCATTCCCTGGACAGCAGAGCCTTAACTAGATGCTAAAAGTTTGAATAGAGTCACAGTTGGGGAAATCCAAGAACAGAGAGAAACCCACCAGTCAGCATAATACAGAGAGGGCAAAAGAATTCATCACTTCAAGCTCCAGTCAATTTTAGTTCATTCCATGCTCTTATGGAGCATTCAGAGTGCAATCAAGGATGCAGAATTTATCTATATTTAACCTCAAGACCAAAGAGCAGGCATACCCCAGATACAAATACTAATCCTTCCTAGAATATTGCAGTGATTATTATTTCAGAGAAACAAAGGAGAGTTCTATAGCTCCACAGTGAAGAAGGCACTTGATGATTTCTCTGGGGTCCCACTTTTGTGTGAGGAATTAAATGGCTAGAAAGCACAAGTCAATAAATGTATATCACTAGGTAGAATAAAAGTATGTTTGCACAACCCTCCAGTACATTCTTGTATTTTTATCAAGGCTTTCTGGCAATAGCATAAACCCACATAAACAAACAACTACTAGTCTGCTTATGTGATTAAGTCCCACAAGACAAAAATACTGCCTTCAATTACTTCCACTGAGGGTGCATTTTATTTTAATTGGCATGAGGGAGGGATGCATTTCATATCTGACTTCTAATACCATCTGGAAAAGTAGAGATTAGACCATGACAAGAATTATTATAGAGAACTGAAGAAAAACATCACATTTCCTCCAGAAATGTAGAAAACAGTACCATTCTAAACATGTCAATAGGGCAAGATGTTTCTTTTCACAAACATTATTTGCTCAAGGAGCAGAACAATTTTTTATATTTCTGGACCTCTCTGTAATGCACATGCAGAAATGTTCCCTTCTGGAATCCTCTTTTTTTTCCCTTTTTGCTAATGCTGACTTTACTAGCATAAGTCCCAAAGGAGGGCTGTGAAGATGGTGAAGGCTCTAGAGGAGAAGCCACATGATGAGTGGCTGAGGTCACTTGGTTTGTTCAGCCTGGAGAAGGGAAGACTGAGGGGAGACCTCATAGCAGTCTACAGCTTCCTCACAAGGGGAAGTGGAGGGGCAGGCACTGACCTCTTCTCTCTGGCGACCAATGACAGGACCTGAGGCAATGGCCTGGAGCTGTGTCAGGGGAGGTTTAGGCTGGATATCAGGAAAAGGCTCTTCGCCCAGAGGCTCATTGGGCACTGGAACTGCTCCCCAGGGAAGTGTCAGAGCACCAAGCCTGACAGAGTTCAAGAAGTGTTTGGACAATGGTCCTAGGCATGTGGTGTGATTCTTGGGGTTGCCCTGTGCAGAGCCAGGAGTTGGACTCAATGATCTTATGGGTCCCTTCCAACTCAGGACATGCTATGATGAACAACACAGCCATTACTACATTGAAGCATCTGAAACAGATTCACTCTTGTCAATGAGTGATTTTTAAAAAACATCTATAGCCATAGCCCTAAATACCTTACCTCTCCCTACACAGTTAAGCTGTGTAAATAATGATCAAACTTACCATACACAGATGCTGGGAAGATAGGCATTTTAGAAGTGAATGGTTAGAAGCTTAGCTGCTTCTGAGCTTTTAGTCTGAAGAACCTGAGTTTTCAAGAACTACAGGTTCAAACACCAGCAATATCACTTCCCACTTTAACGCCTTCAGTTATGAAAACAGAACACTAAGCAGGGCAAGGTATTTGCATGAAAACATTACTTAAAAGCTTATGCTTTCTAAATTTTTTTTTAAACTCCAACTCATGTAGAGAAAGGTAACATTCTGCAACTGCTTAAAAACTTACGAACAGTACATACATTTCTATTATAATATGTAAATTTAAAAATTTAGTAAGACTAAATGGAAAGTGGTTTGTGACTAGGTTACCCGTTCTTTTTCTACAGCTGACAAGCAACAACAAAATATGCAGCAATCTTCAGGCATTGTGAATGGAAGGCACTGAACACAGGAGTATAACTCAAACTAATTGCACAGTTATTTCTGTTAGTATTTTGACATTTTCAGCCACCTGCAGTACAATAGACTGAGCTAATGGAAACAGAACTGTTCTTTTGCAGACGGTGAGGAGTCATTGTTTAGAAGAGATCTGGTGCCTATAATGCAATTTTGTGACAGCTATACATTGCATTAACACCAGATCATGTTTGGACGTTAAGGATCAAGTCATGT